CAGCAGGGTGACAAGGACAGGCAGCAGGATGAAGGGGCAGAGGATGCTGTTCGGGGGGTCGTGCAGTGCCCGGCCGGAGGGGGAGCAGTTCCTGAAGTACTGCTTGTGGACGGCCACGAAGAACTCATCCACCAGCCGGTTGGGCCAGTAGCAGTCGAGCCTCTCAGCGATCAGCGCCGTGCAGTTCGTCAGCTCCCCATAGGTGCTGCAACACAGACCAGCACCCAGATTTTATAATATAAAATATTATATACTTTCTATTCTAGATGTGCGTATTTGGTATTTGAGACTGTATTTGAGATTGTGATTTGAATTTTGTAGGTGTTCTTTTGAGATTATAGGTAGAGATAGGTATAAAAATATGGGGGTTTTAATTCCCATCAGGTTTTGCCATTTTGACCACATTTTTACATGCCAACCCACAGCCAAAAGCACAAGCAGTTTTCATTTTACAGAGTGAATGAAAAAGCTCACTACTTTACAGAATTAATGAAAACAGAAGTAATATTTACAGCAATAACTAGAAGCAAGGTTTCTGGGGGTTAGTTTATGTTCATTTTTGCAGGATTTCACGGACTGGCGCTATTTGAAAATACTGGTCAGAGCCACATAACCCTCTGGCACCTTTAGACAAAGACCTTCAGGAAACCCAGCCTGAGCCACGGAGCAGCTCGCCCAGCCGCGGGCCTTTGTGGCACCATCCTTTAGCTTGCGTGGGCTCAGCCAAAAGGGAACAGAAATAAGTACATCGAATTTACTTACAAGTCTCCATTTCATTTCCTAAAATAAATAAGGCTTTTTTGAACCAACAGCATGCTTTTGAAGTTCGTGTCTCTGCAATTCGCAGTACCCTGCTTTCGAGGTCCACAGGACCACGACCCACCCCAGCGCTCACCAGCCAGGGAGTCCCTTTTTTGAGGTTTGGTTTGTTGGGGTTTTTTTTCAAACATTTGGAAAATGAGGAGGTGCCCTGAGCAAGAGACACCGCAAAGAGAGGACAGCCCCTGTGCTGGTCCAAACCAGCCACCTTCTGGAAGGACAGGTTTCAAATCCTACTTCCTTTAAACATGGCTATGCATTAAAAAATGGGTATGTGTCATTACCCCCACCACCACCCCAATTACTCACAGCTAATCCTAGAGAAGCAGAGCTAAACAAAACCCGACTATTCAATTAAAAACCCGCCTGGGGGATGAAAGCTTCCCGGCTACTTGCCGCAGCCTCTCTGCATCTCATCAGCCAGGTTTTTGGGCAGGCGGTGGCTGCCTTGCTGTGGCCATTGGCACATGGCAGCGCTGGAGGGAGCCCCTGCAGAGTCCAGTGGTTTAATTAACGGGGCGCCTGGAGCTACTAAAAGCAGCTTCTGCTCAGCATCCCAATGTGCAAAATTACCATTTCCCGTTCATCAGCATCCTTAGGAGATCTCAGGAGCTGAAGCATCTTCGGGAACCAGACAGAAAGAGTTAACAGAGAAGCGAATAAAAGCTATTTTTAAAATTGAAGGGCCGTACAGCAGCCGGCTTAGCCCTTCCCTGGCTCCGACCGTGCTTTCGTGCTGATAAATAGCTGCTCCCATCGTTATACGTGAAGACATGCAAGTAACCAAAGCACAATGGTGTCACCAAGCGAAAGGATAAATTGTAATTACACTTTGCACTTAGGCAGCAGCTGTATTTCAGAGCTCAGATGGGCCCGAGGAGAGGAGCCGCATGGCTGCAGCCCCGCGAGCAGCATAGCGGGGCGAGGAGGTGGCTGTGGGGCTACGACCATCTGTCTAGGCATGGAAGAAGCCCTTCCATTCTGATGGGGGGTCTTGCAGCTTAAGATACCCTGTCTCCTGTCCCTTTTATTTTCATGTCCCCCGTCATTGTTAAAGCCACCCTGCTGGATGCGATCTCAGCCTCAGGAGGAGCCGGGTGGCACTGCGGGCACTGCCATCCACCGGCCCCACACACCCCCAGAGCCCAGCAGGGAGCGAGCAGGAGGAGCCTGGAGGGAAAAGCAAACATTTTCAGCAACAGCTACAAGTGTAGAAGCGACAGCCAGGGCTGCTGCGCTCCTGGGCAAGGGAAAGCAAGTCTGGATGCTCTTCAAGAGATGATTTTCTGCCCTTTGCTTACACAAAGCACTACTTGACCATGATAGTTTTATGAACAGCCAACTAAAAGCACAGCTGAACTCTCAACTGTAGCCGAGTGCTTTAATTTCTCCCACTTTATCTCATTGACCCTTGCCCATCCATCACACGAGCTGCCAATCACCAGCCGAGGCCACCCCTGCCAGCCACACAGGTTCTGAGCCGCCGTGTCTCACGGTGTTCAGAGAACAGTCCTGCAAGACTCCATCCATCATCTGTCCTCACAAGCAGAGCACCAAGACACATGGCATGGAGGACCTTCTCATTACCACCAGCTGCTGTAGAGGGCTACCAAAGGGTTCCACTTGGTGGGATAGGGAGAAACCAGACCCGCTGGACCCAGGCTGCTGCTTACGATGCCTTGTCAGAAGGGACCACAACCCCAACAGAGAGAAGCAGTGTTGACACCTGGGGCTGAGTGTGCCTTCCCTGCCACAGCAAATGTTTGTCCCATTGCAGCACCTGGTTCTCTCTCTCAGCAAGCAGAGCCATGTTACTACATTATCACCAAGCCAGCATGGTCCCACCAGAGAATTCAGCCCGTGCTGATGGTGAAACCTCTTAGGGGAGTATTTTGCTGCCCAGTACAACTGCTCTGCCCTCTTCTTGCCACCCACCTCCTAGCCTAGGAGGGTGACGTCCCCCACCACACTCAGCCAGGCAAAGCTGAGCTGAGCTCCAGGAGCTGCAGGGATGATCACGCTATTTCAGGTGTCCCGAAAGAGGTGTAATCCTCAGTCACAGACTGAAAACTCTCTTTAAAAGCCAAAAGCTTGACTCTACCTGCTCTCAGACAACCCTGCAGCTCATTTGCAAGCCTCCATCTCCCAAAATACCATCTTCTCCAGCTAAGCAAGGGCACAGACCTTCTAAAACAAAGCCTCCAAAGACTATATCCTTGCAAGCAGGAAAAAGGCATCACCAAATCTCAGCCCCGTGTCCCATGCTACAGAGGACCCCAGGTCCCCTGCTGTGCCGGGGACACTACGGGGGTCAGGGTGCTACTGCTGGCTACAGCCCCGGGAAGGGACCCTGCTGCAGCTGAAGCAAAACACAACAGCAGTGACCGACGCTGCTGCAGAAATAGAGCGGCACAGCATGATCACCAGCTCTGCCGCTGTGGCCCAGGCTGTCACCCACTGCCAGGGCAGGCAGCAGTGGGAAGAGGGGGGCCGGGTGTTTATGCAGCCCCCGGGTGCAGCCGTGACTCCCCTGGAGATGATGATGAGGACAGAAACCTAAATTGGCAGCACCAGGGGTGCCTGGGCATTGCAATGCCTGGCAAAACACTCAGATGATTTTTTCTGGGGAGGACCTAAGAAACCTGAATGCCACCGACTGCCACCAACCCCGAATCAGACTTGAGGTGGGGTGTGCAGAGAAATACCCACGCTCTGCATCTTCTCTTCCCTCGCCCCACAGTCCAGGGCTGGCTGCCCTCTAAAACCAGCTGAGCAGGGCCTCGTGGCCGTTACTGAGAGCGGGGGGATTAACCACAGGGCAGATCCCTGGCTGGGCTTCCAACAAGCTCTGCAATGGCTCAGTCCAGTTGGAGTAAATAAGGAGGTAGAGAAGCCACCTGGACCTGCACTGAGGCACGTCCCTGTGGCTTTGCAGAGCAGCCAGAGGATCTATAGATGCGACATCTAAGGATGGTTGTCTCTGACTTCCTAACTTGCCTGGGAGCAAGAGGTAACTGAAGGAGCGGCTGTTTTTAATGCTGTTTGGCAGGGGTTATGAATGGCTGGCGCAGCCCAAAGCTACGTGACACATGCTATTCACGACAGCTGAAAGCCGGGCAAAACCTGGCTGGCAACGGAGGAGTTAGTTAAGAGGATATTTGGAATTAGAGGATGCGACAAAAGCCTTTCCATCGAGTGCCCCATGGGCAGGTATTTGAATCTCTCCTTGCCTCTCACAAGGGCCATCCAGTTGAACATGCAGAAAAAATCCTGGTCAAAGCACTCAGGCTGGTCCTGCTTCCCCCATCCCTGAGGTTGGTGGCTTCAAGGCAAAACGTTCCCAAGTCATGCTCCCTTTTCTCAACTGGGCTTTGGGCTTCTCTGGGATCTTTCCCAGTGCCAATCATCCCCCACAGCCCAGCGAGGGCTCTCCTGGGAACAGCAGCTCCCAGGGGCTCGCCTGTGCTTTGAGATGGAGGGACGGAGGGATGCCGGCAGCTGGAGGAGCGCTGAGCATGGAGAGCGTCCTGAGCTCTCCGTGACGGTCAGTGTGTCCCCAGTGAGCACTAGACATGGGGGGAGAAGCGCCACCTCCTCCTGCCTGCCTCGCCCCCTCCCCGTTTTGCCTTAAATACCAGTATCTTAATTTAAAATCCTTAAAAATGCCTTAAAAGATTAGCTTTATTTACTAAAAAAAATATTAAAAATTGTGGGTTTTGAGCTGATGTAGGATAACACCAGGAACAGGACAGGTTTTCCCAAGCCATCCCACCACTGCAGGCTGCGGGCAGGAAGACAGGCAGCCTGTCCTGAAAAGTACGGCTTTGCTTAATTCTAAATATTTTTTTCCCTACCCAATGTGAACTGCAATTAAAACTGTTTTCTTGTCGTCATGGAAACGGTTTGGGTTTAAAGGATGCTGTGGCAGGAGAAGGCTGAGCGGCACGGGGATGACGTGGGGACGAACACCCGTGGGCAGGACAGGGACGCTGGTGGGAAGCAGTCGTGGACTGATTTATGGTCTGACGGGATCCGAATGCTTACACCACTGCAAATCCTAAGCAATGCCTCTGGTTTTTTACCACTGCAACTGAGACTGGAATTTGATCTGCCATTTATTCCTCGCCAGCGCTGTGGTGCAGATGGTGTTACACTACGGATACCGGTTAGGGTTCACAGGATCACCAGCTCCCTCTTTTTGCCACGAGTATTGGGATTTTTTCCTATCCTCCCTTCAGAAGGAAGGGAGAATGCCGAATTCCGAATTCCTCGCTTCAGAAGGAAAAAAAAAACCAACCAAACAAAACACCACAAGGCTTGCCTTTTGCTTTGTAAATTAAAAGGAAAAATTGATTCCTTCCTCTGCAAGGCTGCAGGGCGAGCCTGGAGACATGGTAAAGGGGTATCCAGAAGGGACCTGGAAACCTGAAGATAAATAAGTAGATAATGAGATAATAAGATAATGGATCAATCTGTTGTCTATAAGATAATGGCTAAATAACCTGAAGACAGGCTGTGAGTGTATTCACAGCTGTGAGAGCAGCCCCACGCGGCGGTAGGAGTGGGGCAGGGTACCAGGCGTGCTGGGAGCTGGCAGCATCGGCACATTTCTGGACCTGGCTGCAGCTGTCAGACCAGCAGGCGGAACACCACGCCGGTGAGCTCCTTCCCCACAGGATGCCCATGGCGATGGGAAAGCATTCCCCAGAGATTTTTAAGTGTGCCACAGGGCGGATATATTTGGGATGAAGGCACCCGGCTTGGCTGGAGTGACACCCGCAGCTGCGGAACTGCTCAGCACAGCGAGCGTTCTCCCGTCCTGCTTGCTGCTGCCCGATGCACCAACACCGTGCAAAAACCACCGTGCCAAGCTGTCCCCCGGCCACAGCCCACTGGTGAGCTAAAACTGTTCAGGAAAAATATCTACAGGTCATTGGGTCCTGCTGATGCATTCGTGGGTGAGCAGCCGGCAGCCCAACCCCTCCAGCACCTCCAGCTCCGCCAGCAGTGCTCTGCCTCCCCAAAATAGCTGCCCCGAGGGAGACCACAGCTAATCCCTCAGCTCAATCGCCATGCCAATGAAGCTGGACCCGGAATCAAAATAGCTAAGTTCATCTTTGGGATAATTGGTCATGCACAGCTGAGGTCGCAGCCAAAGCAGCTCAGCCACCACCATGAAGCAGAGGAGACCACGATGCAGCTCCAGCTTTAAATAACAGGGTGACTGCAAGCCCTGGAAAACAAAACACCATGGTGCTTGGTCTAAATTGCTCTCAGGCCAGGGATCCATGGGACAACGCCGTGGAGGGGCTGGAGAGACCAGCTTACACCATGTGAGCGGGTAGGTGGGCAGCTGATCCAGCAGGCACCGGCACGCACGGCTCCAGCAGGAGCATCTGAGGCCACACCGGATCGCTTATCCTTTGAGGAGGAAGAGAGGGAAGGAAACGAGATCACCCAAGGGAAGACACCTCTCAGAGCAGTCCTTCCTTCCCCAGGGACAGCGTTCATGGCCAACTTCTGGAATGACTTATTTTATTAAAAACTACCTGGCATCCCATTCCTGAAGCGCGTAATGGCTCACACAGATTCCCCTAGTACACGATTTTGCATATCAAATCCCATCAACTTTCCCCAAATAAGCACAACTAAGAAAGCCAGCAGAGCTCAATGGTGTTGGACTGACCTTCTCAGAGAGCTGGTGCTTGTTCTCATTGTCCAAGCCCAACCTCTGCAAACACTCCTGGTCCAAAGAGACCCCTCCGGTACATCTGGACGCAGCGGTACCAGAGATGCAAGAGCTCGGTTAATGCTTCTGAGGGTAAGACGGGAGAATAATCTGCAGCCTATAAATATGGCCAATAAACCACAATTACAAACTCTGCTGAGACAATTCATTTATCCAGATGTTCCCATCATGTCATTCTCAATTGAGCAGTAAATGATGGGCCTAACGGGCAATTCTCCGCTAAATGCCGCATACGAGAAATCACAGCTCCAAACTCAATGCTGCTGATGGTACAGGACCTGTCAGAGGCAGAAACTTCAAATATTTCTCATTCTCATTTTGGACAGGTTTCAAGCATCAAAATTCCTTGGTTTGGGGGAAGATGTGGAAAGGAGATGAGGCTCTAGGCAGGTGTTTTATTTCCATTTCTTCATCTCACACCTGGTGGAAGTCAAGTCCTTCGCCTAAAAGCAGAGGGGCAAAAAAGCCTATGCCACTCCCTGCCCACTGCTGCTGGGGCATCTCCTAACAGTACTTTTTCTCCTAAAAGGGGATGGTGAGTCCCATGCGCACGCAGGGAGCAGGGATGCTGAGCGAGGTGGCGACCCGAAACCCATTTCCTTACAGAGCAGTATATTTACAGCAGTAGCTGAGCTGTTTCTACCTGATTTTCCCAGTGTCCTGAAGGCACAGAAGGATCAAAGGAATGTCATCTCTTAAATAACCCGAGCCTTGTGTTTGCACAGAGCAAATGGACACAATCAAATTAAACACTGCAAGTTTATCAACATTTCCTCCAAGTGCCTCAAGGATAACAAGTTTAGTAGAAGCTATTTAGAAGAAAAACAGGATGTCGGAGATAAAGAACAAACTCTTTAATACACCTCTGCTTCCTGTGCAATGGCTTTGCCGAAGGTCTGGAGGTGGAGATGGATTGCATCTCATCAAGCTTGCAGATAGCACCAAACCAGGACCAAAAGCAAAGTCCTGCCCCTGGGACACACTCAGCCCCTGCATGGGGACAGCCTGGGTTGGGGACAGCTCTGCTGGCATGGCCCCAGGGGTGAGAGCTCACCCCCAGCGCAGCCAGGAGACCCAGGGAGGTGGTTATCCCCTTCTCCTGCCACTCACCACATCTGGATGCTGCCTCCAAAGGTGTCAATAGAGGGGAATAGGTCCTGTGGAGACCCCCAAGGCAGCCGGGGGCTGGAGCAATGGCAGCAGCCCTGGACATTTTTGAGGACCAGATGAGGTTTCTCAGAACCAGAAACCCTCCCACCCTCTTTCCACTCTCTTTTCTTCCCCTCTATTTTGTCACCAGTAAAGGGGAAAGAAAACCCAAGCTGTCCTTCTCAAAAGCTATCTATATATGTCTGTTTACACACACACACATATATATATATTTTAATGTGGCACAGAAGAGAGGGGCATGAAGCGGGAAATCAACCAAAATCTTACAAAAACTCTAATTTTTTTGTGCAAAACACTCATGGCATATGGCAACATCTGCTTGCCATTTCCAACTGGCCGCAATCCCTTGTGTCGCAAAAGCTCATCATTTTGGTCCACCGCTTCATTTTCCCCGAGAAGGGCCATGGCACAACAACGCTGTACGATGCAGAAAGCCAGCCCAGAGTTTTTATTTTCTCTTTTCAGGCCCTCACACCAACACACAGACACTCCTGACCAGTCTTTGCAACTTTACTCAAAACCATCTTGCCAGGAGAATGATTTATGCCATGGTTGGTACCAAAAAATTCATCTCTGCTGATTATAAATAGGAAAGAGCTAATTTGAAGAAAGCGTCATTCAGGTGGTTTGCAATAAAACAAACCCAAAAGAAATGCCAAAAGATCCACCCTCTGGGCCCGGTCATTCAGCCAGTTTTCAACCCATCTCGCTGTGTGCTCCACCAGCCCATACTTCACCAGCTTCTCTCTGAAGATCTTATGGGAGATGGTGTCAGAAGCCTCACTGAAGTCCAGCTAGACAATATCCACTGCTCTCCCCTCCACGCCCACCTCGTGGCCCCTCCACAAGTGAGGGGGATGGGGATGCCCCTTCAGATGGACCCGGCAGGGATAGAGTCAGGGCAGCGTCAGCAGCAAAGAAGAGCGAAACGGCACATTTGTTTCCCCCCACCATGAAATAAAACCCACCGCTGACCTCCTTACACCCCAAAATCAAAGATGGGCGCTGGCGGTCCCGGGACGCCAGGAAGGGAGGAGTGAGCAGAGGGACCTCACTTACTTACCCCACGGTCTCGTCCCAGTCGCACCAGAGCCGCTGCCCGATGCCCTCCATGGTGAGCTGGAACTGCTTCAGGCAGTAGTGTCGGATCATCCAGCCGTAGTCCGCCTCCTGGCACGCCGTCGCCGCGATGAAGTGATGGGCTGGAAGACAGGCGAGGGGTGAGCGGGGTTAGGTGTCACCGCGGTGGGTCATGGCGCAACGACATCCCCTTGCCCCTCACCGTGCAGTTTCCCCACAGCTTTTCATGCAGAGGGCATTGGCCAAAGCAAGGCTGGACATCAGGACAAACCCACACTCAACCAGCTTCTTCAAAACCTCCTTCTCAGGGTTTATTTCCCTCTTCACACCCCTCTGATCCTGCAGCATCATCCTCCATTACCCTCCCAAGTATTCAATGCTAGATAAATCAATTATTCAAAATAAGTCAGGTAAAAAAATAAGTCATAAATAAGTAAGGACACAGATGTATTCTCTGCTGATCACTTGACACACACCTTTGGACTTTAAATTCCCAGTTTTTCCATTTACAAAAAGACTAAGGGTGCGGGGGAAGTTGGGGAATAACCCCACAGCTCCCAGCCAGATTTCTGCTGCTGCTGAGCAAAGGACCCCCTTAAAAATTATCTGCATGGTGCCACACTTGGAAACAAATATCCATCTCCGATGGAGCGGAGGGACAAGTGCGGTGAAATAAATCTCTGGCTGCATGCTGCTGATTTAATTCACCTCCTGGGTACGCGTCCCTGCTACATGGTGCCTGCTGGTTTGGGACCAGAGAAGGAAGAGATGCTGCTGACTTCCCTGTAAGTTTGTGCACAACTAGTGCAATGTTGCTAACAAATGGGGAGGGTAATGCTACAGGGGGAAGAGGGAGGAGGCTTGAAGGGGAAAAAAACTTTGGAGGAATGATTTACTGAGCCTGGCTATAAATAATCTCTCCCTTGGTCCCAAAGTGCCAGCCAGTGCTTTTGCAGCTCCTGGAGTACATTGCAGGCAGGCATCCCATACCAGCTCTATTTTTTGCTACGTGTGAACAACTGCGCAAAAGAGTGGGGCATTTTTATTTTTATTTATTTTTATCATATTTTTTAACAAAACAGAATTTAGCTACTTATTTAGTGGTCTGCATATGAAAGCCATGGGACATGGCTAGCGGCTCCCTGAGTGGTCCCTCTGCAGCCCCCAAATCTTCGCAGCGCTTAGGTACCAGCATCCTATGGCAATGAGTGGGAACTCGGGACCCGCTGAGTGATTTGGGTAGTGAGGGGCCCCCAGAGCCTTGGGCAGGGTTTCTGGATGGCTCCAGGGCTCCCATGCTGCCTCCCAGCACGGCAGACACTTTGGTCCGGCTCGAGATAAGACGAAGTGAGTTATCATGCCAAGGGAAGGGAGTTAAGGAGCATTGAACCCTCACTGTTGCAGTAATAAAACTGAGTTTATTGTAATTTAAAGCTCTCCCCAGCTGATATCACCCAGGGGCTCACCCTACAGCACTTGCGCAATACCACCTCAGCCAGAGACAAGCCCTGCTCTGAAATGGGAAGGTTTGGGATGCTGAAGCAAAGCACTGGGCAAGGAGGAGGAGGAGGGAAGGTGCAATAATTTTACGTGAGAGCCGGACTGCAAATCTCAGTCCAGGCAGCCTCAGGGATGATTGATAGCTGGGAGGTTTTTTTATCCCCTTCCCATCCCTTCAAATTTGGATGAATGAAGTGAACAAGTGACATGGCTGAGCGAGCACCAGCATCCAAGGGAGGTTCAGGTGCCACCCCGAGGGGTCACCCCTTGGTGAAGACTGTGCACCGGACTCTGAAGGACAAGCACCCTGCAAACATTATGCCCATCAGGTGGCCAGACAAACAGCTTGCAGAGAAAACGCCACCAGCAAACGCGTCGAGTGCGGAGCAGGAGAGCTGTGTGAGGGGAGAAAGGAGAGCAGGGCAGGCGAACAGATTAAAAAGCAGCCGGATGAGCAGCTTAGGGGACTGAGGAGCAAAGGAGGAAACCGAGCCAGGCAGAAATGAGCGAGACACGCAGAGCACACAGAGAAACTGAGGAAGACAAAGCCACTTTAAGAAATTCAAGAGCGATACAGCATAAGATGTAAGAGAAGCAGAAGTTAACTGAGCATGGCCAGACCGCCCTTTGCCTGGCTTCGCTCCTCCCCACTCCCAATTAGCATGGATGAGCCTAGAGACAAGTCATCACTTGTACCACAAAAACAACTAGAGATGCCCAAACATTTCCTGATGGCCATGCAGCTGCTCCTGCAGAACAGACCTAGAGGTAAACACCTTAACAGACAGCTCCACCTTGGGTGGGGAGAGCAGAAACACAAAATAAACCATGGGGATGAAGCAACTGAAAACTGCCAACTGGCTGCAATGCCTGCTTGCGTAGCTGCAAGCCACGTGTATCTGGTAGTCAGCATGAAAATGAGCCCTATTATAAAAGAAAAAGAAAAAAAAAAACCCCAACAAGTGAAAACAAAAACCCAGGGAGCTTTAAGTGCTTGCCAATCAAAGCAGCTCAAAAGACAGTGCTGGCTTGGACGTGGCTGTGGGCTGAGCACAGGTGTGGGCAGCCAGGAGAGAGCCTGGCTTCGTCATCCCCGAGCACGTGACTCACGCTTGCACGGTGTTCCTGCATCTTGTCTCAGCTCTGAAGGTCCTTCGCAGGCACAGCACCACTTGTCTTTCCCCACCAGCAGCTCTTCACGATATTCTCCAGGAACTCTGCCTTCCCCATGAGGACTTGCCTTCTGCAGCGGTGAACACTGCAGATGCCAACAAGGCTTGGCTTGGTAACCCCAAGGAGCGGGGCAAAGACCGTGCCCATGGAAGATGTCTCCCCCACCACATGTCCCATAACTACACGTGGGGTATGTCTGCAAATCCTTTTCTCCAGGGGACTGGGGAAACCAGACCCATCAGCCAGTGATCGAGACATTTCACAAGGACATTTGATTTTTAACATTATGAAGGGCTGCTTTGTTTTATACATCAGAGGCAAAGAGCATCCAAGAGGAGCAAGGCTCAACAGAGCCCATTGTGTAAAAGCTGCGAGGACGGAGCTGGGCACAGCAAGGCCAAAAAGTTCTTTTGTTTTCAGCTGGCCAGGAAGAATTTGCTTTAGCTTTAAATGCACATTTTAAGGTCAAAGTGAGAAGAAACTCCTGCCATGTTTCCACATGGTCCCCACCTAAACCCATGGATATTTCCCTGCTGCTTCCCAGATACCCCCAAACCCACATTTATCGACACATCAGGCTGGGACAGGTTCAGTGTTTGTAATAACAGGGAAAAAAAGGCAGGGAGGGATTTTTCTATCTCCTGGCTCTCATCCCAGAAGGTTTTCCTTCCCTCCTCAGCCCTGCTGAAGAAGGTGGTGCAAGTAAGTCAGCTGCACTGAGCTGTAAATAACTGAGCTCTGGAGCGGTCAGGTCTCTGTACTTAGCAGCATCCATTTGTGAAGGCAGTAAGCTGCTGCTGAATAAATGAGCTCCAAAATCCAACTATATCAAGGCTGAGCTGCCACCAAGAGCTCCCTTTTTGCATGCTCCTGGCGCTCCCATTCCCTTGGGAAAAATGGCATCAGGAACTGTGGGAACACAATGGTCATACGAGTTGGAAAAGAAAGACCTCTAAGATCATCAAGTCCAACACCGCCATGCCCACTAAACCATGTCCTAAAGTGCCACGTCTACACGTTTTTTGAACGCCTCCAGTGATGGTGTCTCCACCACCCCCCGGGCAGCCCTGACCACTTTTTCAGTAAAGAAATTTTTCCTAATATCCAGTCTAAGCCTCCCCTGGCGCAACTTGAGGCCATTTCCTCTCGTCCTATCAAAGTCCTCTGGGAACATCCCACTGGAGCCATGCGGTACCTCCAAAGCTTGGTCTTTAGGTGCTACCTAGACATGGAGGGTTATCGCCATCTTCCCATGTCTCCCCGGCCTGTGCATCCTTCTAGGTGACAGCACTGTGAGCTGTCCAAAATTCACCCTTGCAGCACATCTGCGCGCTGCCTTCTGCGTGCAAAGATGTATTCTGCTGGAAGGAGACACCATGCAACGTTTATCTCAGTGCAAGGACCTGCACGACTGTTGCTGAATGCCCTTCCCTGTCGAGAAAAGCGCTGATTGCCTGTTTAAAAGATGTAACTTTAAGGATTCTTCATTCACCTCCTCACAGGGAACATCTGGAGAGTGGCAGTGAGGAAGTGATTGGAGGGAAGGCTTTTTCAGGCATCCCAGATCCTCTTGATTGCCCTGGGATTGATGTTCTGGAGAGCCCCAGCAAAAGAACCCCCAGGGTTCAGATTACTGAGGGTTAGCTGCAAAAAGCCCAAGTCGCTCACGTATTTCAGCAGAAAAACAGTGCTGGCCTGGAGCCGTTACAAAAATTTGGGAAAAATAACTGGACTTTCTTCTGTTGCACTTCTCATAGCTGGAGTCTGGGCCAAAAGCTCTGGGCTCACAGCTCCAGAAACAAGGTAGTGGACACCACCTCCTCCTCCTCCTCCTCTTGCCACTGCTGCAGAGCCCGCACACTTACCCCGGTGACTGTTCACCAGCAGAAAGCCCTGGGCTTTCTCTGTAAGAAAAGTTTTGCATTTCACATCCCCATACCCTCTGCATCATTCTTTGTTCTCCGGCCATTTTTCTCCTCAGTTTTCTGGGGCTTCTTGGGCTCAGTTTGCTGGGTCATGCAGCAAACCCTCGAGGGAGGGGGAAGCAGGGAGGACCACGGAGCCTGAGAACACATGAGCATTTCAGGCTGGCACAGCACAGGAGGTCAAAGCAATGCCAGCACTGACAGACCCGGTTCCCAGGCATCATGACGGAGGCTGTCGGCATTTTTTGCAAGCCTCACCGCCCTGGCCCTCTGCCGTTCAACCTCTGGATGCTGCCCATGATGCGTGCGTGCTGGGAATATATGGAAAGTTTGGGGCAGCGAGTGCCAAGTAAGGCAGTCTCAGTTTTGGGGAGATCCCACCAAGGTAGACTCACATGCCATATCCTTCTGGGCTTGCTGGGTTTCACCAGATGCAGCTAGGGCAGCCCCAAATCATCGTCCACATGGCTCCTGCAGATGAAGGCTCCTCGCCCAGTGCTTGGACTGTACCCCCTGTCTGCAGTCTCATCCAAGAAGTAAGCCCTTGATAGAGGCTCTTATATAGGATGGGAACTGGACACACCCTAATTTGTGAACCCTTTCAGTGGCACCCACTGGGTGCTGTTGGAGGGGCTGCCAGACCCACCTCAGCACGGCTGTAGCTCACTGATACTCAGCAAACAGGGGAGCTTGACTCCCCCAAGCCCATGACATCCCTTGATGGCGCTGGATGAAGGATGAAACTTTTTGACT